CCAGCGCGGAGGACGAGGAGGACGAGGACGAGGAGGACGACGAGGCGGCCGGCCCCAGCCCGCTGCCCCTCGGGGACCGGGCGTCGGGAGGAGAGGACGCAGGCGAGTGCGGAGCAGGCGGCGGGGACCCCGGAGCGCCACTGGGCCTCCACCCCCGTGGGAGCTCTGAGCTGATCCTGCCCAAACTCCGAGATGGCCACACTTGTTTAAGTGTCCCAGCCACCACTCGGCTGCTGTCACAACCCTCTCTGAGCCAAGTTTCCCCTCTCTGTGTCAAATGGGGCAATCACCCCATCTCCAACCTGTTGGGGCCTTCTGGGGATGTAGTCTGGGATAGAAATGGTCCTTAATGCGCTAGGGATGTTTTGGGGGTGGAGATATTTACTTAGCGCCAAGCGCGGTGATCGGCATCCAGCTTCTCAGACCCTCCATTTCCGTATCTGACACATGGGGATAAAGCTGTTGTCATCTGTTGGGAGGAGCGAGGTCATGGCACATGGTGTAGGTCGACCCTGGCCCCAGGCCTCCTGATAGGTCTGGTCATGTGCTCCTGCAGAACAGAACCCCTCACCCGACGGGCAGCGGAGCAGCCAGCTCCTGGCACGCCAGTTGCAGGATTTCTGGAAGAAGTCCCGGAACACCCTGGTGCCCCAGCGGCTGCTCTTCGAGGTGACCAGTGCCAACGTGGTCAAGGACCCTCCTTCCAAGTACGTGGTGAGTTCGGGTCCAGGAGCCCCTGGTTGTGAGTCTACGGGTCTATCTAAGACACAGGAGGGAAAATTCCAAGTTCCTTGGTGAGGACGAGCTGGCTGTGTAGTTGTACATGGCTGCCCCCATTTTACAGATGGAGAAACAGGGCAGAACAGGGATGTAACTTGAGCAAGTCCTCAGGCAAATGACAGCTTCTTTGAGACTGAGTAAAAAAAGGATTGTGGGCCTGACTCCTCGCCTGGTTTTGAAAATAAGAGAACCGGTGTGTGTGCCCCTACTCACACCCTCCCCCACCCCCCCAAGGTTTTGCAAAATGTAGCAGGAAAGAATATTATCTGAATCAGGTTTGAGACCCAAGTGGCATTGGTTAGTGTTTTTGTGGTTGTTGTTCTGTTTTGTTTTGTTTTTAATGAGTTTTGGATGCAGAACTTGATTTAAATCCGTTGTTTGACCTTGGATGAGTTGTATAACTTTGATGACCTTTTCCTCATCTGAGTAATGGGAATAATGCAGAGAATTGTCACAGGAAGTAAATGGGACAGTGCACAGAAAGCCCTTAGCACTGTGCCTGGCATTATGAAATGCTCAAAAAAAAAAGTGTAATAAAATAAAAAATTCGCTCCCATAATATTACACAGCTTCGGACTGAAAATCCCTGGCATCTGGGGCCTGCTGTGGCCTCCTTACAAGCCGGGTGAATCAGTTCTCGAGCAGCCATCCTGAATAGAATAATCTTGTAAAAGCTCCATTTAGAGGGGTTCAGTGAAGAGCAATGTGGGGGAGAACCTGAGAGTCCCCGTTTTCTTCTCTGTGGAAAGGAGAAACTGACATAGAAAGTGAGGTCTGCCAGGCCTTCTCCTGCTGGCCTGAAACCCAGCCTGACCTGGCTGCAGCTCCCTTCCTCTCACTTCCCTCCTCCTCACCACCCTCCTCCATTTCTGACTCAGCAGGAAGGGGGCCTGGAGCCCTGTCCCACATCTGGACCTCTCCGCCCCTCTCTGCTGCTATTAGTAAACAAGGGCCACACCCATGGGGTGGCTGCTTCAGTTTGAGCAGTGATTGGTAATCAAGTCTTAAGTGGCAAAAGTCCTGGCCAGGCATCGTGCATAGGAAGGGGACCCCAAAGATCAATTATCAAGGAGCAGCTGCGAAACAAGTTAGTATGAGGGTGACTCTGGGAGAAGAATGACAAGAGAGCAGGATGGCCAAGGTTGCCCTGGCCAGTGTCGGGGCAAACAAATCACCTCCTTTGTCCAGAGGGGACCCTAAATTCTGACGGAATTCTCCTGTGGGGTTAGAGCACAGACTTTGGAATTGTCAATCTGGTTTTAAATCGCAGCTGGGCCATTTCCCAGCTGTGTGACTCGGGGGATGTCTTTTATGTTTTATCTTTTAAAAATATATTTTTATTGATTTCAGAGAGTAAGGGAGAGGGAGAGACAGAAACATCAATGATGAGAGACAAACATCAACCAGGGATTGAGCCTAAAACTCAGGCATGTGCCCCAACCAGGAATCAGACTGTGATCTCCTGGTGCATAGGTCCATGCCAAAAAACCAAAATCAAAGCCGAAGCAACATAGGGATCATTATAGACCAGTTCTTACTGAAGTGTGTTCTACAGAAAATAGGTTTCCTTCCTTAGCCAGTTTGTCTCAGTGGATAGAGCGGACTGAAGGGTCCCAGGTTCCATTCTGGTCAAGGGCACCATGCAGGCTCCGCATTCCTGGCCCTGGTTTCTATCTCTCTGTCTCTCCCCCACCCTCCCACTATCTCTGAAAATCAATGGCAAAATATCCTCAGGTAACAATTTACAAAAAAGAAAAGTTTCCTGGAATGTTAATAACTATTCCTTAAGAGAAAGATTTTGCAGTCAGTATGTTTTGGGAATGAAGAGTTGAAGAGTAAAATAAGGTTTTACTGTTTGACTTTTTAATCCTTAATGTTAACAAACCTAACCGACTAGAGGTGGCTATAATACAGGTAGTTTCTCAGAACAAATTTAAACAAAACATCTGGGTTTGTTGTTAGTACGCCTTTAACCTCGAAGGTTCTTTAACATCTAAGGTTCGCTAATCCCCTTTTAAACTTGCTGGCTTAGCATTCTTATAGATTAATCTATGTTTGGGTTCTCAGACCTGGGGGAAGTCTTATGGTGATCTCCTTCAGTGTCTCCTCCCCCCCTCCCCCCCAACTTCGATTCCAGTACCACCTTCACAATTCTTGTCCCATCTGAATGCTGCTTGTACCAATCTCTGTTTAACATTTTTCTTTAAATAAACCTTTTTCTTAAGTAAGTTTAAAAGACTTTATAACATACTGTATGTGGAAAGCCTCACTTGCCATAACAAGAAGATATCCGTAAAAAAAAAAAAAAAAAAAGTCATTAAACCCTGCCTGGATGCTGCTGCCTGAAGGCCCTGACCCAAGACCCATTTCCTGGTTCTTTTCTAACAATGGAGCTGAGACGAGTCCAAGTGCTCTCAATCTGCAGAGTCAAAGAGGACTAAGGGAGTCACCTCCTGCCTCAGATTCAGTGTTATTTACATCCTCCGAAAAATCTCAGGACCAACCTTTGTCCACGCCCCACCCCTGAGTAAACACTGACCTGGGCCAGCATGTCCTTCCCTAGAGAAGGAAGCGACTGGAGGGGAATGCTGGGCTGGTGTCACAGTGAGGAGCAGCTGGCCTGCGGTTAGAACGTGAGTCTGAGCCCAGCGTGCTTTTCACGTGGGCATTCCTGGGGTGTCTGAAGACCTGTCTTCCGGGTCTGGGTTGGAATAACCTGGCTGGGGATGTGGGAGCTCTGTGTTGGAGGAGAACAAAGCTCCTAAAGGTCGGCTCAGAGGCCTGAGATTGGCCTGGGTTTCCACGAACCCCTGGTTTTCCGGAGGGGCTGTCAGAAGAGCTAACTGCCCTGATGGGAAGGGAGTACTTTCTGGAAGGGGCAAAAAAGCAGCAGCTCTAGGCACTGAAGTTCATCTTTGTCTTTCTCTCCCCGTGCTGCCTTGGGCCTGGGTCATTTCAGACGAGCCTCAGGTAAGACGGAGTGGGCTCCCCAGCTGCTGCCCCAGCAGCTCCCACCTTCCTGGGCCCAGTCTTAAGGGTAAAGGGAAGAGGTGGGGCAACAGAGCTGGAAGTCTGGGGATGGGGAAGGAAGGGGCCCCTGGACAATTTGCACCTGCCCTGACCCCCACCCTCCCTGCAGCTCTACACCCTCGCCGTGATGGGGCCAGGGCCACCAGACCACCAGCCGGCCCACATCTCTCGCCGTTACTCAGACTTTGAGCGGTTGCACCGAAACCTGCAGCGGCAGTTCCGGGGCCCCATGGCTGCCATCTCCTTCCCCCGTAAGCGCCTGCGCCGGAATTTCACTGCAGAGACCATTGCCCGCCGCAGCCGAGCCTTCGAGCAGTTTTTGAGCCACCTGCAGGCAGTCCCGGAGCTGCGCCAGGCCCCAGACCTACAGGACTTCTTTGTACTGCCGGAGCTGCGGAGGGCACAGAGCCTCACCTGCACTGGCCTCTACCGCGAGGCTCTGGCGCTCTGGGCCAATGCCTGGCAGCTTCAGGCCCAGCTGGGCACCCTCTCCAGCCCAGATCGCCCTCTGCTGACCCTGGCTGGGCTGGCTGTATGCCACCAGGAGCTGGAGGACCCTGGGGAGGCCCGGGCTTGCTGTGAGAGGGCCCTTCAGCTGCTGGGGGACAGGAGCCCCCATCCTTTGTTGGCACCCTTTCTGGAGGCCCACGTCCGGCTCTCCTGGCGCCTGGGCTTGGACAAACGCCAGTCAGAGGCACGGCTGCAGGGCCTGCAGGAGGCAGGCCTGACCCCCACACCACCCCCCAGTCTCAAAGAATTGCTCATCAAGGAGGTACTGGATTAGTCTTGCCTAGACTTAAGGTCACTCTAGGGGAGAGGCACTGCCCCAGGGTGGCAGCGGTCGGGGACCAATGAGGGATGAGGACCTGAACAGCAGCTGGGAGGCTGTAGGGGGTGCTGGGAACCCCTAGGAGTAACACAAAGCATTTGTAGCAGACGGAGGAGGAAACGTGGCTCTTCTGCTGGGCTGGGCTTGGGGAAAGCTTTGGCAGGGGATGCCTGGGACCTGGGATGGTGCAGGGAGGAAGTCTGATGCACCCTCTTTGGCATATGCACAGCTGGGGGCTGTACCCCAGGCCAGGGCCAGTGTTCCCTGTTCCTTGGGCCTCCGAGTAAGGGCCAGGGACTCCTGGAGTTGATGGCTGGAGGGCGGGCTGCAGTTCTGGCCCAGGGAATTAAAGGCCAGCAGGTCCAGTGGTGGTAGTCTCTTTATTGGATATGAGGGACAAAGCCCGGCCCTCAACTGTAATTCCTGCCTCGCCTCAGGAATGGGGGAGAAGGGAGATCCTGAAGCCCCAGGCCAAGCTGGTACCTCTGGCTACAGCTTGCTCTCTGTGACCCGGGGTTTCACTCGGAACACGCCCTCCTGGGCACAGGATATAGCCAGCACCCCGTCCCGACGCCACAGCTGCCCACGGACCAGCCCCCGGGAGCCACCTGTGGGTGAGAGGGTAAGAACAGCCTTCTCTCTCCTTTAGCACAGCCATGGGGGCTTCTGAAGGGTGCAGTCCAGGCTGGGCTGCCCCACACAGGGGCACACTGCGTGTTGTGCCCCTTTTAATGTGTTCAGTCATCAGGGGGTACCATGGGAACCCCACAAAACAGTTTAAACGCACTTTACATGTTCTCGGGCTTCCTCAACAATCACAGGGGGGGAGTTCTGAGGACAGTCTTCGTCAGTAGCTTGGCTAAGCAGGTCTACCTCTGGCCACTTGTGTTAGGAAACCCGTCAGTTCCCCTTATAACAAATCTAACCAGTCCCACCAGGCTGGTGTTATATGAAAAACACTCCCAGCCCCAAGGGGACAAAGACGCTCAGGGGAGAGGACCTGGGGCCATGAAGTCTGGCCACGCCTGCCTCCCCACCTGCAGATTTATGAAGGGAGCTGCCGGGTCCCTCCCTGTGGTGCAGCTCACTCAGTCCTCACAACAGCCAAGCAAAGCAAGGTTCGTCCCCTTCTCCGGATGATGAGCTTAAATTCAGAGGCTCAGGAACTTGGCCTTAAGAATCAGGCCAAAACCAAGTATCCCGACTTCAGGGTGGTTGAACCTGTGCTGCGATGCTATTGGTACCTTTCGTTTGTCGGTTTCTTTGTTTTGTTTACTTTTCTATGCTGTTGGTACTTGAGAGCGCCCCTTCCCTGAGTATAAAGAGCCCCTTGAGTTTTGTCCCTGGTTTACAAAGCAGTTTTCATTTGGAAAGTACGTCCTCGGGAGGGAGTCCAGGGCTCTGACAGCAGACATGGATGAACGAGCCTGGGGTTCTCTCTGCCTCTGACGAGGAGTGTCCCAGCAGAGGGGCCTTTAGAGACTGTTGAGTGCCCTGAGCCACCGGGTTAATTGGCAGAATCACTTAGCTTCTTAAAAATATAGTTTCCTGGATCTCTTCCAAGACCTGCAGAGTCAGAATCTTAGAATCTGAAAACCTGTTTTTAAAAAGCTTCCTGAAGTGGCCACCAGCTTTGGCTGCTACTCTGCTAACACAACTCTGGTTATTGAAACGGGGAAACTGAAGCTCAGAGGGGAGACAGGACTTGTCCAGGATCATATAGAGATTTTGAAATGTTTCTGGGACTAGAACTGGGGTCTCTGAGATAGAGTGGGTCATAATCCCAACATGTTACAGAAATTATAAGAGCTGATTATGAGTGCCACCCTCCAGCCTCACCCTTTGAAGAAAAGGATGCCAAAGCCGAGGGGGCAGGAGAGAAAGTGGCCTGTGCAGTGCCCCATAGAACGTGGGTGGGGAACAGCATGACCCAAGAAAGCAGGCTCCCTGCCACCCCAAGGCCAGTGCCCTTGTCCCACGTGACCCCACACTCACCAGCCCAAGGGCTCTCGCACTCATACAGCATCCAGTGGTCGGCTCGGAAGGGGGCGTGGAACCACATGGAGTGGTCCAAGGAGACCATGAAGCGCACCGAGTGCTTACGCTGGTGGGGCAGCAATGCCGTGCCCAGAAAGGCAAAGTCCGAGATGTAGGCAGCCACGCAGCAGTGCATCTTGATGTCGCCCTCCCCTGCAACAGGTCCCGGCCCCATCAGCCCTGGGCTCCTGGCCTTTGCAGCTCAGGACCTGCGGGGAGGCAGGGGAGACGGGCTGCCGTGCATAGATATGCAGGCTGTTCACTGCACGAGGGGACGTGGCCCAGGTGTATGTATGGGGAGGGGGAGGCAGGGATGGGGCCCTCACTCCCACATCTCCCGCACAGGCACCTTAAGATTAGTAGTGTACCTGGAGAAGAATCTCAGCAAAGTGCCTGCCTTCCCCAGTCAGAAAGGGCCTGCATTAGGATTACAGCCACCTGCCATTCTCCCCAGGCAAAGGCCTAGTAGGGCCCCGATCACAAGGTGAGCCAAATCCCCATCATGGGAATGAGGAAATAGAGGGGAAGTAACATGCCCAAGGCCACACAGAGCAAATACTATGCAGGCCTAGTGTTCTCTTCCAGTCCAGGAGGTCCTCTTACCAATATAGCCCTTGGCTCGCACCCAGAACATCTGTTTGGGCTCCATGTTCTCCAACTGGCACAGGCTGGATGGGTTTATTAGCTTGATCTCAATGGGCACATTCCGGGCAGGAATCCGGTTCAGGACCACTCGGTACTTCTTTTGGAGGTTAGGGTCCCTGGAAGGAAAGGGTTGAGGGACTTGAGGAGACCCAGAGAGAGGGGAAGCCTATTCTGACTCCCCTCCTTCCTCCAGAGGGAGGGCAGACTTAGCCTGAAAGTCTCCCTCTCCTCTGGCAGGCAGGAGCATCAAGTATTTGAAGCCATTCTTTGCCTCCTATGAGCTATGTGGCCTTATGCAAGTTAGTAACCTCTCTGAGCCTATTTTCCCGTCTGTAAAATGTGGATAACGACAGTCACCTACCTGATAATAAACATCGTGGAGAAGACGAGATCATGCATGTAGTCATGAGGCGCGCCCCCAATACGCACCATTATAAGCATTTCACCCACATTGCCCCATTCCTCACAGCAACCACGTGAGACAGCTGCAGTTGTCACCCCCCCAATGACCCGTGAAGCAAGCACAGAGGCCAAGCAGCTTGCTCAGGAAGTAAAGGCAGGCTTTGGACCCAGGCAGCCTGACTCAGTTTACACTCTTAAGCACTTCACTATCCCAATCACTCGGGGAGCCAGGCTGCCCAATGGGACTGAGCTATCGAACCCTAAGCCATCGGGAACAGAGTCCACAGGGAAAGAGCCGTTTCCAGGCAAGCCCCTTCACAGCAGCAGCCACCTTAGTGCACGCCAGGACTTCCATTCTCAGCTCCAGCCTCTCAAGCACTGTCCACAGAACCTTCAGGGATGACAGGATGTTCTGTATCTGCACTGTCCACGGTGGTGGCCACTAGCCACATGTGGCTACTGAGTGCTTGCAATGTGGTTAGCGCGGTTAATAGTGAGGAACGGAACTATTAATCCTACCTGATGTTTATTGATTTAATCCTATGTAGCTAGTGGCTTTCTCATTGGACAACACAGCTCTAGATTTAGGGACTTTTAAGAACATTACAGCAAACGTTTTTAAGCTCTGACCGTAGACAGGCTCCAAGCTTATTCCTGTCAGTCAACTGTATAACTACAATTTACTGCACACTTAAATGCCTTATTTTATGACTGAGGGCACAGGCTCAGAGTGGGAAAGCGATGTGCCCAAACTCACACAGCTAGCAGAGACCGTCTAGATTTGAACCAAGACCTTTCCCAGGTTCAAACTCACATCCGCCCCATCACACCTTGCTGCCTCCCCAGCCAGCACAAGACAGAGGCACTCTCCCTCAGGTAGCTGTGAAGTAGGCAGGCAGAAACATACATTTTTTATATGGAGAAGCAGAGCTCTGTGAGGCTGGGGAGAGTTGGGCAAAGTCACAGAGCAAATGGGCACTAACAGCCCACAGCCTTGGCCAAAAGCCATGTGTCTGTCCTGAGTCAGAGGCCCTGGCATTTTCCCAACTTTATCAACTGTGACCTAAATAAGAAATATATTTTGCCAGGTGACATTTAAAATACTTAACACATACTAAGGCAGAGGCAGCAGGAACCCTCACCCTGTCAGGCATTACCTCCTAGGCTGCCTGATCATGTGACCTTGAAGGGGGAGTCACTCAGGGACTAGGGAGGTGAGTATTTGCCAAGTAGTTAAAGAAGTATAGTTCAATACTTTAACAACCAGTAAAACTACTGTACCTGAATTGGCTGAATCATAAGCCTGCATTTTACATCCTGACCCCACACACAACTGAAACTAACCTATCACCAAAGGACTCTTACCCTTACTATACACAATACATTGCTGTATCATATTTTCTAGTCCGTATTTTTAAATAGTCAAGGCACACTAAAGGATTCCATGACCCAGGAACAGGAAGCATCTGCAGTCTGAACACTGACTCGAGCCTCCTGGTCTCTCACCGTAAGCACTGGTCAATGAGGGTCTCATAGTCAGGCAGCTCTTCCGGCGGGGGCACAGTGGGCATGGAGAACTGGTGCTGTAGGGGGCTGGGCTGGGTCAGCTGGAAGGAGGCCTGGCAGATGAAGATGGGCCTGCCATGCTGCACAGCCTTCACTGATCGCACGGAGAAGCTCGCCCCTGTTCGCGTCCGCTCCACCTGGTACAAAACAGGCACCTTCGGGTCCCCTGTGGGGAGCACAGGGACAGGTAAACCTGAGTGAGCCCCACAGGCCTGTCATCATCACCATGGCTGGAGAGGCACCTCTGCTACTCGTTCTCCATTCCTCTTCTGCTTGGTAGCTACTGACTGAGGCCTGCTAAGGCCCACTACTGCAGATACAGAGAACACCAGACCCTGTCATGAGGATGCTCCCAGTACAGGTGGAACTCTTCTTTCTCAATAGCACAGAACAGAAGAGACATTGCCAGATGACCTGCATTCCAATCCTAGATAATTAGCTGTGTGATCGTGGCAAAGACACTTAACCTCTCTGAGCAGTTTACCCATCTATAAAATGAGAATCATCATGGTATTCATACCTCTCAGGATTTTTATGAGAATGAGGTCATAATTGTAAAGTGGTTAGAATAATATCTGGCACACAGCTACAAGCAGCTGTAGAGATCATCTGGAGAACACACTTTGTCCCGCCCTCATCCATTTTTCTGAGGAGATGAGCAAACCAAGCCTCAGGGAGTGGGTAACCTCGCTCAAGGTGGCATGATGGCGAATGAAACTAAACCCATTGTCTCTGGAGCCCCAGACACCTGCTCTTTCTTCTCCAAGGCAAGGTGCCTACCTCCACACCCCTAGCAGAGGTTAGGCACAGCTCTGAGGATTCAGCATAGTACTTAGCTACAGGTGTGTAAACAATGAACAAAAGACCTACAGAGAGTAGTTAAGCCAGTCTCGTGTCTTTTGGAGCCAGATAACAAGCAGTGGCTCCACCCAGGCCTTGTTCCTCTCCAGGCTTCCCTGTGGGTGGAGATCAACTAACTCCCTTCCCCACTGTCTCCTCCCAGTCTTTTCTCTCTCTTAAGTCAGACCCCGAAGGCCAGGAAGAAGTGGCTGCTGGGCCTTTAGGGCTGGGTGGGGGGCAGGGAGGGGTGCATACTTACCTGCCCGGACGAAATAGCAGTGCAGGGAATGCACTTGAACGTCTTCACTCACTGACTTGGCTGCGGCCACCAGGGCCTGCCCTATGATCTGACCCCCAAACAGCCGCTTGGTGGTGGGTATCCAGTAATGCCTTCCTCTGTGGGTAGAAAGAGAAAGCAGGATAGACTTCAAAGGTTGGGCCAAATCCGGTGACAATCATTGAGCTTCTAGTGCAGATCTCATAACTTTATTGGACTTTGGGACCTTTTGAGAATATGGTAAAAGCCCTGGACCCTTTCCCCAAATTTCTTATATCATTCTACATGACAGCATACATCATCAAGGCCTTGGAGATTGCCTAACCCTTCTGTGGACTTTAAGATAAGGAACCAACTCCCATATTTTAGTAGAGAATGGGGATCAGAGAGGGAAGGTGACCTTAGCAAGGTAACCCAGGTAAACATTGCTAATCCTTAGAAGTAGTTGGGTCTTTTGACCCCAAGTCTAGTATTTCTTCACTGCTCATACCAGGGTAAGGCAGAAGCCTCTGAAGGCCTTCGAGCACCCCAAGAGCTAGAGTGGACTGCATCAAGGCCTGCCACTTATATCCCTCAACTTTGACAACCCAAGAACTAGGTTTAGAGCTCAAAAGGCCCTCCGATTTCCATGTAATCCTTTCAGTGTGAAGATGAGAAAACTAGGGGCCCAGAGGTGAAAAGGACTTGCCGAATGCATGAACCTTATGGAGGCTAGATTTGGGTCTCTGGCTTTCCAAGGCCCAAAACAGTTAAGCATTTTTACACGGTGCATTGTAAACAGCCCTCTAGGAAGTTATTTGTGATTTCTCAAGGAGGGGGAAGAGAAGTCAACACCCTAAATAGCTCCCAATAAGCTAGTAGGAGCCTTGGAGGCTCAAACTGTAAAACTCCCAGCTGCAGTCAAGAGTTTAATCCGGTTTGGCTCAGTGGATAGTGTCGGCCTGCAAGAGGCAGCTGATCAATGATTCTCTCTCATTGATGTTTCTAACTCTCTATCCCTCTCTCTTCCTCTATAAAAAATCAATAAGATATATTTAAAAAAAAAAAAAGAGTTTAAAGGGTGTGGGGAAGGAAAATAGCTCAGGCCTCAGGATGAGTTTGGAGCTATTACACCTCAAGTGGTGGTGGGGATGGGTTTGTAAGAGGGAAAGGATAATGAATATGCAAGGAGCTGAGGGTACGTTTTAAACCAGACTAGCCCTTGGACTAATCGCAGCCCTTTTTAGACTGGTCCCCAGAGCCATGGGAAGCTGCTGAGAAGGCTATCTCAGGTCACCACTTTATTTGCCCAAACGACCAGGGCCCCCTAGAGGGGGAGCTGCGCAAACCCGGCGCAGAAAGGAAGTAAGCCTAAGGCAGCGAGGACAGCTGTCAGGAACAAGTTCTCTCCCAAAGGCCACAGAGCCTGCATCCCGCACGGAACCCATCTTCTTCCAGGAGACCATGAGCAGAAGGCTACAGGGTGGCGGCGGTCGAGATCGGGTGCGTCTGTCCCAATGCGGGGTGCGGGCCAGATGCGGCAGGCTACCTGAAGAGATCTTCGTCCAGCGGCTCGAGGTTGAGCACGCTGGTGACCAGGACGCTGCGAAGGTCCCCGGGGGGGTCGCCACCGCCTTGCCCATCCTCCGGGGCCTTCGGGGACGACATGTGGATCACTTGCCGAAGCCTCTGCGCTGAACCCGACGCGCGCGGACACCTAACACCCAGCTCGCAGACTCCCGCAGATTCCCGCAGATTGATTGCTCTAGGAGCCGGAAGTCTGCCAGCCCCGAAAAGAAGGGATGCAAATTATGATTGGACGATGCTCCTGTCAGTCTGCGGGTGCATGGCTCTCTTCCCCTGCCTATTGGACAACATGAGTGCCAGTCTGGGACTCCGTGTGTGATTGGAGGGGCGGGTCCCAGGGACTTGGTAAAGAGATAGGAGCGTCATTTCCCCTCTGTCTGATAGCAGAGACGACCCCAGCCTCTTTTACCGCCTCAGACCTAGGGCTCCTCCGGAGCTTCAGTGCCGGCCACCCAAGTGGGGCCAGGCTCCAAGGCGTTCTGGACTGACGGCAGCCTGTAGACCCTCACAGTGTGACCTCTGACCCCTGGTATTGATTGTAGGGCCAAACCCTGGCGTGGGCTGAGGGGGCAGCCATGGAGCTGGGCAGCTGCTTCAAGACCTACGAGGATTTCAGGAAGTGCTTCCGCCTCTACAAAAAGGAGAACAGTTGCTCCTTCATTCTCAGGGACCGCGTCTCCGTCCGCTGCCACAACCTCAACCACGGCACCTCCATCCGCGAGGACATCCTGTAAGGGCGGGGTGGGGGAGGGGCCGGCGGGCGGGGAGGAGGCCGCAGTCACGTGGAGGGCGACCCGGACGAGGGAGTGCACCGGGGCCCTGGTTTCTCTGAGCTTTCCACGTTAAGCAGTCATTAAGCACCTGCTGGATGCCTGGTGAAGAGAGAGCAAAGCCTCCTCCACAGGCATTCGTTTTTGACCACCCCCACCCCACTTCAGCTTCACTCTCTCACACCTACACTCACACTCCTGTGGAATCCATAGTAACTGCAGTCTGCCCCCTTTTCTGAGCGCCTGCAGTATCCCAGACACAACATACGGCCTTCACAAATGGATACAAATGCCTTGGCGATCATTTCCTTCATCGGCCTCCTCTTTACAAAGCTGTGATGTGGTCACTTGTTGCTTAGTTCTGTTGGTTCCTTGGTTCGTTCACTGGTTCATTCATTCATTCATTCATTCATTCGGTTTTGAGATAGTTCTTGAGCTCCTGAGATGGACATCCGTTTTTCAAACACTCTCAGTGTCACATGGTAAGCAGCATTCTCTGGTCTGTGCATTCTTTACCCCTTGTACGGAGAATTATAGATAAATGTTATCTCTCCAATTCAGTAGATGAAACAATGCAGAAAGCTTGTTTTTAATTTTACTATAAGAAAAAAAGGATGGTGAAATTAACATCCAGCACCAGGTCTTCGTGCCGGGAACAAGTGTGAATGGGGTAACATGGAAAGCAGAACCTATCTAATCAACGCCAGCTCATGGCTGCCATGTGAAAATAAAGATCCGTTATTGCCAGAATTTAGGGCAAGACAAGTTAAATCAAAGTACATCTGAGGCCTCTGTTTGAGATGTTTGGCCAAAGTTCCCATCTACTGTGTTTCCCCGAAAATAAGACATCCTTCGAAAATAAGATCTAGCGCATGGGAAAATAATACAAACCCTGAAAATAAGACCTAGTGTATCTTTGGGAGCAAAAATTAATATAAGACACTGTCTTATTTTCGGGGAAGCAGGGTAGGAAGGCGTGTAGTTTCCCTACTGTAAAGCCCAGTCAGTGCTGTGCTGGGTACAGACAACAGATGAATAAGGAACCAGTCTACCCTCAAAAAGCTGAAGGTGGGATAGCCCGGGACTGTGTGGCTCATTAGTTGAGTGTTGTCCTGTGCACTGAAAGGTTTGTCTGTTCAATTCCTGGACAGGTCACATGTCTAGGTTGCAAGTCTGGTGCCTACAGGAGTCAGGGAGGCAGCCAATTGATGTTGCTTGTTCACGTTAATGTTTCTCTCCCCTCTACCTTCCTCTCTGAAATCACTAAAAACATATTTGGAGGGAGCTTAAGATGGGATAGAGTTGGACACCAGGAAACTGACTAGTATGTGATAAATGTTTAAAAGAGATGTACAGTCCAGCTGGCATGGCTCAGTGGTTGAGCATCGACCTATGAACTAGGAGGTCACGGTTCGCTTCCCAGTCAGGGCATGTGCCTGAGTTGCCAGCTCTATCCTTAGTGTGGGGCGTGCAGGAGGCAGCTGATCAATGATTATCATCATTGATGTTTCTATCTCCCCCTTCCTCTCTGAAATTATATATATATATATATATATATATATATATATACACACACACACACACACACACACACACACACACGTATATATTACTTGGGAGAGGAAAATAATAAGAGAACCTATAACAAAAATCACCCCTACCTTTAGGTGATTTTGAAGATAGGGGTAAGCCAGGGAAGTCTGAATTTGGTATGGTTACAGCCAAGAAAAATGGGAATTGGAAGAACAGAGGGGGCATGTTGGAGCAGGGAGTAAGGTAGGATTTCAAGAAACTAGTATCTATAAGAAAACACCTAGGTGTCAGGACTGAAAGTCGGGCCCAGCATGTTTATTGCCAGAGCTCTTAACTGCCTTACTTAACCAATGGGTTGTAACAGGTTTTTATCCTACTTGTTTATTAATTTACTCAACAGTCTTCTAATAAGAGGTAAAATGTTGCCGAAACTGGTTTTGCTCAGTGGCTAGAGCGTTGGCCTGCGGACTGAAAGGTCAAGGGCATGTACCTTGGTTGCGGGCGCATCCCTGGTAGGGGATGTTTCTCTCTCATCAATGTTTCTAACTCTCTATCCCTCTCTCTTCCACTCTGTAAAAAATCAATAAAATATATTAAAAGAAAAAAGAGGTAAAATGTTTACCCACAGGTGTCGAGCTGGGATATGAAGATGGGTAAATTGTGGTCTCTACCCTTGAGGACAGTAGTGGACAGAGCTAGTTTACAAGGAAGTGAATTAGTGAGCAGCCCTAGCCTTCAGAAATTTTTTTTCTTTTCTTTTCTTTTTTTCTGGTTGAACAGTTCTTTTAAGTCCCAGTTGAGGAAATTTTTTAGGAGATACTTTAGCAGAGTGCAATGTTTCTCGAAACCAGATATGCATATTATAGTGGACAGATGAGATTATTTTATAGTAACTATAATGTTAGACCAAAACATAAAGATCCTATTAAACAGAGTAAAGTGAGCTGGTTTTAAAAAGCCAGTTGAAAATAATAATGTATTATACATGTTATATGGGTGGCCATGGCAGGTGTAAAAAGTGGTTTGTGATTCCTGGAAGTTTAGGAAAAGCTGGAAAAAGGATTAAGAGTGAGAGCTCTGGAGTCCTTTACCTTGGGCAAAATGTTTTTAACCTTTGCGACATGGTGAATTCCTTTGTGAAATGAGGAGGGTATAGTGAAAATTAAATAAGAAAATACATGTAGCCCTAACCAGTTTGGTTCAGTGGATAGAGTGTCGGCCTACAGACTGAAGGGTCCCAGGTTTGAGTCCAGTCAAAGGCATGTACCTTGTTTACAGGCACATCCTCAGTAGGGGGTGTGCAGGAGGCAGCTGATCAATGTTTCTCATTGATGTTTCTAACTCTCTATCCCTCTCTGTAAAAAAAATCAATAATTATATATATATATATATATATATATATATATTTTTTTTTTTTTTTTTTTTTTTTTTTTTTTTTTTTTTTTTTTTTTAAGGAAGCAACTACACGTAGCCCAGCCAGTGTGGCTCAGTGGTTGAGTGTTGACCCATGAACCAATAGGTCTCAGGCAGCCACGTGCAGATCTGGTCAGGACACATGCCCAGGTTGCTGGCTCAGTTCCCAGTAGGGGACATGCAGGAGGCATCCGATCAATGTTTCTTTTTGATGTTTCTCTCTCTCTCTCTCTCTAAAAATAAATTAAAACAGCCAAAACCGGTTTGGCTCAGTGGATAGAACGTCGGCCTGCAGACTGAAAGGTCCCAGGTTTGATTCCAGTCAAGGGCATATACCTTGGTTACAGGCACATCCCCAGTAGGGGGTGTGCAGGAGGCAGCTGATCGATGTTTCTATTATAACTTTCTAGCCCTCTCCCTTCTCCTCTCTGTAAAAAAAATCAATAAAATATATATTTTAAATAAATAAGTAAAAATAAATAAAAACATTAGAAAGAAGAAGAAAAGCCCTGGTTGTTTTGGCTCAATGAATAGAGTGTCGACCTTCAGACTGAAGAGTTCCAGGTTTGATTCTGGTCAAGGGCACATGCCTGGGTTGAGGGCTTAATCCCCTCTAGGAGGCAACCGATCAATGATTCTCTCATCATTGATGTTTCTCTCTCTCCCTTCCTCTCTCTGCAATAATAGATATAATATATAAAAGAAAATACATTTAGTGGCTGAAACATAGGCTAAGTAAATATTTGCCAAAGATGTAACTGATAGTACATGATAGAAAGTGGTAGATATTTTAAGAGACCCAAAGAAATGTACTGTGGGAGTTATCGCTAAATGGCCAAAAGTGCCAGTGACAGGGTAGATTCTATAGTTTTATACACAGTTTCCCATCCCGTATTTATGTATGTAAAAGCCTAAGCGATCATTAAGACTGGTAGACCAAATGATGGGTTGACTGATCTCTATGACGTGCACTGACCACCAGGGGGCAGACACTCAATGCAGGAGTTGCCCCCCCCCCCCCCCCCCCCGTGGTCTGTGTGTTCCCACAGCCAACTTCCCATAGCCAGCCAGCCTCCCGGGTCCCTTCCCCCAACCGGCTAGCCCCAATTGTCCCCAATGGCCAGCCAGGCTGAGGAGCCCCACCCGTGCATAAATTTGTGCACCGGGCCTCTAGTTTTTATATATGGCCGTTGTGGGCTTTTGATTGGTATTCTTCAAACAATCCATGAAATATTCTGATGTCTGTCTTCATTGCCCTTCAGTTTAACAGTATCCCTCCCTATCCCCCCCCCCCCCACCTTTGTTTAAGGAAAGTCAGCAGATTCCTTTATTGTTCTGGAAGGAGGGGGAACTCAGAAGTCTTGGTGGGACAGCCCACT